TGGCTATTGTATCATTAAAAATTATTTCTTTATTTTGTACAAACAAAATAAATATATTGAAAAATATAAAAACTAAAAATTATACTTTAGAAGTTAATCTAGTATCAAAAATGTTCGATTCAGCACGACACACAGTCTTCAGAAAAACACTACAAAAAAGTGCCAGTGCTGCCAGCTAAAACACACACACCAACAAAAAAAATATTGGAGTAGCCCAAGATATAGCCAAAGATTGCAGCACCACAGCACTAGCGAAGATTTAAATTTGCCGACTGGAATGCTTTCGGTTAACCAACGTTTCGGATAACTGGCTGGATAACCGGCTTTCGGATAAAAAACGCTCTACAGTAATACCCTGAACTTACGCGATAGTGGGACCGAGCGATAACCGCGTAAGTCGGGGTATAATTTCGCAATTTGTGTAAAATCCAAGTCGGATGTATGTAAGCTAATAAATGTTCTCGTTAATCTTATCTCGTCTTTTGATTCGTTCACGGTTACAAGAAATCACACATAGAGTCTCTCTAGTCTCCATAGATATAACAAACTCAGAAATAAATAACACAAAATAAATTGTAGCTATATGTCGATTCCGCGCGGCATGTCCGAACATGTAAGCTAAACAATAGTGTGGGGGAGTGAGTAATCAAGAGTTGCGTGGCGCTCAAAGAAAAGACGAATCGACGAGATTTGAAAATCGCGTAACTCCGAGTTCGCGTAAGTCGAGGTATTACTGTACTGTATATAATTTAGAAAAATCTAGAAGAAAGAATTGGTCCTTGAAAATATTTTTAATATTCTCAGTTATGTAATTCATTTCAAATAGCTAATATGATGTTTATCTTTCAGTTATTGTTTCTTATTAAATTCTAGGCACTAATTCTAATACTGTACATAATATTTAAATTTAATACAGTTAAATAAATTTAGTTATTTTTTTCCAGATTGTCCTATTTCAGAACATATTAGAAAACAGTTAAATAGAATTAAAGCTCAATATTTAGAATCTGTATGGACAGATAAAGGAGTATCTCTTATCCCTCGTGTTTCTAGAAATGATCAGTTAGTAAATGAAAGTAAGTATTCATTAATTACAAATAATGTTATTTATTATTACAAAACAATTTTATTGTATACTGTATTATTACAGTTTTACTTTACATTGTTTTTAATTTTATTTGCTGAATATTTATAATTATTTTATTTTATATTTTTATTTTTTACTTTAAAAAATTGCTAATAAATTTATAAAAAGAAATAATCATATTACAGAAACTTTAAAAAATGTAGTATATCTCTCAATTGCAGACTTGTATTTCTTTTTCTTCTTCGTTTTTTTTTTTTTTTTTTTTTTTTTTTTTTTTTTTTTTTTTTTTTTTTTTTTTTTTTTTTTTTTTTTTTTTTTTTTTTTTTTTTTTTTTTTTTTTTTTTTTTTTTTTTTTTTTTTTTTTTTTTTTTTTTTTTTTTTTTTTTTTTTTTTTTTTTTTTTTTTTTTTTTTTTTTTTTTTTTTTTTTTTTTTTTTTTTTTTTTTTTTTTTTTTTTTTTTTTTTTTTTTTTTTTTTTTTTTTTTTTTTTTTTTTTTTTTTTTTTTTTTTTTTTTTTTTTTTTTTTTTTTTTTTTTTTTTTTTTTTTTTTTTTTTTTTTTTTTTTTTTTTTTTTTTTTTTTTTTTTTTTTTTTTTTTTTTTTTTTTTTTTTTTTTTTTTTTTTTTTTTTTTTTTTTTTTTTTTTTTTTTTTTTTTTTTTTTTTTTTTTTTTTTTTTTTTTTTTTTTTTTTTTTTTTTTTTTTTTTTTTTTTTTTTTTTTTTTTTTTTTTTTTTTTTTTTTTTTTTTTTTTTTTTTTTTTTTTTTTTTTTTTTTTTTTTTTTTTTTTTTTTTTTTTTTTTTTTTTTTTTTTTTTTTTTTTTTTTTTTTTTTTTTTTTTTTTTTTTTTTTTTTTTTTTTTTTTTTTTTTTTTTTTTTTTTTTTTTTTTTTTTTTTTTTTTTTTTTTTTTTTTTTTTTTTTTTTTTTTTTTTTTTTTTTTTTTTTTTTTTTTTTTTTTTTTTTTTTTTTTTTTTTTTTTTTTTTTTTTTTTTTTTTTTTTTTTTTTTTTTTTTTTTTTTTTTTTTTTTTTTTTTTTTTTTTTTTTTTTTTTTTTTTTTTTTTTTTTTTTTTTTTTTTTTTTTTTTTTTTTTTTTTTTTTTTTTTTTTTTTTTTTTTTTTTTTTTTTTTTTTTTTTTTTTTTTTTTTTTTTTTTTTTTTTTTTTTTTTTTTTTTTTTTTTTTTTTTTTTTTTTTTTTTTTTTTTTTTTTTTTTTTTTTTTTTTTTTTTTTTTTTTTTTTTTTTTTTTTTTTTTTTTTTTTTTTTTTTTTTTTTTTTTTTTTTTTTTTTTTTTTTTTTTTTTTTTTTTTTTTTTTTTTTTTTTTTTTTTTTTTTTTTTTTTTTTTTTTTTTTTTTTTTTTTTTTTTTTTTTTTTTTTTTTTTTTTTTTTTTTTTTTTTTTTTTTTTTTTTTTTTTTTTTTTTTTTTTTTTTTTTTTTTTTTTTTTTTTTTTTTTTTTTTTTTTTTTTTTTTTTTTTTTTTTTTTTTTTTTTTTTTTTTTTTTTTTTTTTTTTTTTTTTTTTTTTTTTTTTTTTTTTTTTTTTTTTTTTTTTTTTTTTTTTTTTTTTTTTTTTTTTTTTTTTTTTTTTTTTTTTTTTTTTTTTTTTTTTTTTTTTTTTTTTTTTTTTTTTTTTTTTTTTTTTTTTTTTTTTTTTTTTTTTTTTTTTTTTTTTTTTTTTTTTTTTTTTTTTTTTTTTTTTTTTTTTTTTTTTTTTTTTTTTTTTTTTTTTTTTTTTTTTTTTTTTTTTTTTTTTTTTTTTTTTTTTTTTTTTTTTTTTTTTTTTTTTTTTTTTTTTTTTTTTTTTTTTTTTTTTTTTTTTTTTTTTTTTTTTTTTTTTTTTTTTTTTTTTTTTTTTTTTTTTTTTTTTTTTTTTTTTTTTTTTTTTTTTTTTTTTTTTTTTTTTTTTTTTTTTTTTTTTTTTTTTTTTTTTTTTTTTTTTTTTTTTTTTTTTTTTTTTTTTTTTTTTTTTTTTTTTTTTTTTTTTTTTTTTTTTTTTTTTTTTTTTTTTTTTTTTTTTTTTTTTTTTTTTTTTTTTTTTTTTTTTTTTTTTTTTTTTTTTTTTTTTTTTTTTTTTTTTTTTTTTTTTTTTTTTTTTTTTTTTTTTTTTTTTTTTTTTTTTTTTTTTTTTTTTTTTTTTTTTTTTTTTTTTTTTTTTTTTTTTTTTTTTTTTTTTTTTTTTTTTTTTTTTTTTTTTTTTTTTTTTTTTTTTTTTTTTTTTTTTTTTTTTTTTTTTTTTTTTTTTTTTTTTTTTTTTTTTTTTTTTTTTTTTTTTTTTTTTTTTTTTTTTTTTTTTTTTTTTTTTTTTTTTTTTTTTTTTTTTTTTTTTTTTTTTTTTTTTTTTTTTTTTTTTTTTTTTTTTTTTTTTTTTTTTTTTTTTTTTTTTTTTTTTTTTTTTTTTTTTTTTTTTTTTTTTTTTTTTTTTTTTTTTTTTTTTTTTTTTTTTTTTTTTTTTTTTTTTTTTTTTTTTTTTTTTTTTTTTTTTTTTTTTTTTTTTTTTTTTTTTTTTTTTTTTTTTTTTTTTTTTTTTTTTTTTTTTTTTTTTTTTTTTTTTTTTTTTTTTTTTTTTTTTTTTTTTTTTTTTTTTTTTTTTTTTTTTTTTTTTTTTTTTTTTTTTTTTTTTTTTTTTTTTTTTTTTTTTTTTTTTTTTTTTTTTTTTTTTTTTTTTTTTTTTTTTTTTTTTTTTTTTTTTTTTTTTTTTTTTTTTTTTTTTTTTTTTTTTTTTTTTTTTTTTTTTTTTTTTTTTTTTTTTTTTTTTTTTTTTTTTTTTTTTTTTTTTTTTTTTTTTTTTTTTTTTTTTTTTTTTTTTTTTTTTTTTTTTTTTTTTTTTTTTTTTTTTTTTTTTTTTTTTTTTTTTTTTTTTTTTTTTTTTTTTTTTTTTTTTTTTTTTTTTTTTTTTTTTTTTTTTTTTTTTTTTTTTTTTTTTTTTTTTTTTTTTTTTTTTTTTTTTTTTTTTTTTTTTTTTTTTTTTTTTTTTTTTTTTTTTTTTTTTTTTTTTTTTTTTTTTTTTTTTTTTTTTTTTTTTTTTTTTTTTTTTTTTTTTTTTTTTTTTTTTTTTTTTTTTTTTTTTTTTTTTTTTTTTTTTTTTTTTTTTTTTTTTTTTTTTTTTTTTTTTTTTTTTTTTTTTTTTTTTTTTTTTTTTTTTTTTTTTTTTTTTTTTTTTTTTTTTTTTTTTTTTTTTTTTTTTTTTTTTTTTTTTTTTTTTTTTTTTTTTTTTTTTTTTTTTTTTTTTTTTTTTTTTTTTTTTTTTTTTTTTTTTTTTTTTTTTTTTTTTTTTTTTTTTTTTTTTTTTTTTTTTTTTTTTTTTTTTTTTTTTTTTTTTTTTTTTTTTTTTTTTTTTTTTTTTTTTTTTTTTTTTTTTTTTTTTTTTTTTTTTTTTTTTTTTTTTTTTTTTTTTTTTTTTTTTTTTTTTTTTTTTTTTTTTTTTTTTTTTTTTTTTTTTTTTTTTTTTTTTTTTTTTTTTTTTTTTTTTTTTTTTTTTTTTTTTTTTTTTTTTTTTTTTTTTTTTTTTTTTTTTTTTTTTTTTTTTTTTTTTTTTTTTTTTTTTTTTTTTTTTTTTTTTTTTTTTTTTTTTTTTTTTTTTTTTTTTTTTTTTTTTTTTTTTTTTTTTTTTTTTTTTTTTTTTTTTTTTTTTTTTTTTTTTTTTTTTTTTTTTTTTTTTTTTTTTTTTTTTTTTTTTTTTTTTTTTTTTTTTTTTTTTTTTTTTTTTTTTTTTTTTTTTTTTTTTTTTTTTTTTTTTTTTTTTTTTTTTTTTTTTTTTTTTTTTTTTTTTTTTTTTTTTTTTTTTTTTTTTTTTTTTTTTTTTTTTTTTTTTTTTTTTTTTTTTTTTTTTTTTTTTTTTTTTTTTTTTTTTTTTTTTTTTTTTTTTTTTTTTTTTTTTTTTTTTTTTTTTTTTTTTTTTTTTTTTTTTTTTTTTTTTTTTTTTTTTTTTTTTTTTTTTTTTTTTTTTTTTTTTTTTTTTTTTTTTTTTTTTTTTTTTTTTTTTTTTTTTTTTTTTTTTTTTTTTTTTTTTTTTTTTTTTTTTTTTTTTTTTTTTTTTTTTTTTTTTTTTTTTTTTTTTTTTTTTTTTTTTTTTTTTTTTTTTTTTTTTTTTTTTTTTTTTTTTTTTTTTTTTTTTTTTTTTTTTTTTTTTTTTTTTTTTTTTTTTTTTTTTTTTTTTTTTTTTTTTTTTTTTTTTTTTTTTTTTTTTTTTTTTTTTTTTTTTTTTTTTTTTTTTTTTTTTTTTTTTTTTTTTTTTTTTTTTTTTTTTTTTTTTTTTTTTTTTTTTTTTTTTTTTTTTTTTTTTTTTTTTTTTTTTTTTTTTTTTTTTTTTTTTTTTTTTTTTTTTTTTTTTTTTTTTTTTTTTTTTTTTTTTTTTTTTTTTTTTTTTTTTTTTTTTTTTTTTTTTTTTTTTTTTTTTTTTTTTTTTTTTTTTTTTTTTTTTTTTTTTTTTTTTTTTTTTTTTTTTTTTTTTTTTTTTTTTTTTTTTTTTTTTTTTTTTTTTTTTTTTTTTTTTTTTTTTTTTTTTTTTTTTTTTTTTTTTTTTTTTTTTTTTTTTTTTTTTTTTTTTTTTTTTTTTTTTTTTTTTTTTTTTTTTTTTTTTTTTTTTTTTTTTTTTTTTTTTTTTTTTTTTTTTTTTTTTTTTTTTTTTTTTTTTTTTTTTTTTTTTTTTTTTTTTTTTTTTTTTTTTTTTTTTTTTTTTTTTTTTTTTTTTTTTTTTTTTTTTTTTTTTTTTTTTTTTTTTTTTTTTTTTTTTTTTTTTTTTTTTTTTTTTTTTTTTTTTTTTTTTTTTTTTTTTTTTTTTTTTTTTTTTTTTTTTTTTTTTTTTTTTTTTTTTTTTTTTTTTTTTTTTTTTTTTTTTTTTTTTTTTTTTTTTTTTTTTTTTTTTTTTTTTTTTTTTTTTTTTTTTTTTTTTTTTTTTTTTTTTTTTTTTTTTTTTTTTTTTTTTTTTTTTTTTTTTTTTTTTTTTTTTTTTTTTTTTTTTTTTTTTTTTTTTTTTTTTTTTTTTTTTTTTTTTTTTTTTTTTTTTTTTTTTTTTTTTTTTTTTTTTTTTTTTTTTTTTTTTTTTTTTTTTTTTTTTTTTTTTTTTTTTTTTTTTTTTTTTTTTTTTTTTTTTTTTTTTTTTTTTTTTTTTTTTTTTTTTTTTTTTTTTTTTTTTTTTTTTTTTTTTTTTTTTTTTTTTTTTTTTTTTTTTTTTTTTTTTTTTTTTTTTTTTTTTTTTTTTTTTTTTTTTTTTTTTTTTTTTTTTTTTTTTTTTTTTTTTTTTTTTTTTTTTTTTTTTTTTTTTTTTTTTTTTTTTTTTTTTTTTTTTTTTTTTTTTTTTTTTTTTTTTTTTTTTTTTTTTTTTTTTTTTTTTTTTTTTTTTTTTTTTTTTTTTTTTTTTTTTTTTTTTTTTTTTTTTTTTTTTTTTTTTTTTTTTTTTTTTTTTTTTTTTTTTTTTTTTTTTTTTTTTTTTTTTTTTTTTTTTTTTTTTTTTTTTTTTTTTTTTTTTTTTTTTTTTTTTTTTTTTTTTTTTTTTTTTTTTTTTTTTTTTTTTTTTTTTTTTTTTTTTTTTTTTTTTTTTTTTTTTTTTTTTTTTTTTTTTTTTTTTTTTTTTTTTTTTTTTTTTTTTTTTTTTTTTTTTTTTTTTTTTTTTTTTTTTTTTTTTTTTTTTTTTTTTTTTTTTTTTTTTTTTTTTTTTTTTTTTTTTTTTTTTTTTTTTTTTTTTTTTTTTTTTTTTTTTTTTTTTTTTTTTTTTTTTTTTTTTTTTTTTTTTTTTTTTTTTTTTTTTTTTTTTTTTTTTTTTTTTTTTTTTTTTTTTTTTTTTTTTTTTTTTTTTTTTTTTTTTTTTTTTTTTTTTTTTTTTTTTTTTTTTTTTTTTTTTTTTTTTTTTTTTTTTTTTTTTTTTTTTTTTTTTTTTTTTTTTTTTTTTTTTTTTTTTTTTTTTTTTTTTTTTTTTTTTTTTTTTTTTTTTTTTTTTTTTTTTTTTTTTTTTTTTTTTTTTTTTTTTTTTTTTTTTTTTTTTTTTTTTTTTTTTTTTTTTTTTTTTTTTTTTTTTTTTTTTTTTTTTTTTTTTTTTTTTTTTTTTTTTTTTTTTTTTTTTTTTTTTTTTTTTTTTTTTTTTTTTTTTTTTTTTTTTTTTTTTTTTTTTTTTTTTTTTTTTTTTTTTTTTTTTTTTTTTTTTTTTTTTTTTTTTTTTTTTTTTTTTTTTTTTTTTTTTTTTTTTTTTTTTTTTTTTTTTTTTTTTTTTTTTTTTTTTTTTTTTTTTTTTTTTTTTTTTTTTTTTTTTTTTTTTTTTTTTTTTTTTTTTTTTTTTTTTTTTTTTTTTTTTTTTTTTTTTTTTTTTTTTTTTTTTTTTTTTTTTTTTTTTTTTTTTTTTTTTTTTTTTTTTTTTTTTTTTTTTTTTTTTTTTTTTTTTTTTTTTTTTTTTTTTTTTTTTTTTTTTTTTTTTTTTTTTTTTTTTTTTTTTTTTTTTTTTTTTTTTTTTTTTTTTTTTTTTTTTTTTTTTTTTTTTTTTTTTTTTTTTTTTTTTTTTTTTTTTTTTTTTTTTTTTTTTTTTTTTTTTTTTTTTTTTTTTTTTTTTTTTTTTTTTTTTTTTTTTTTTTTTTTTTTTTTTTTTTTTTTTTTTTTTTTTTTTTTTTTTTTTTTTTTTTTTTTTTTTTTTTTTTTTTTTTTTTTTTTTTTTTTTTTTTTTTTTTTTTTTTTTTTTTTTTTTTTTTTTTTTTTTTTTTTTTTTTTTTTTTTTTTTTTTTTTTTTTTTTTTTTTTTTTTTTTTTTTTTTTTTTTTTTTTTTTTTTTTTTTTTTTTTTTTTTTTTTTTTTTTTTTTTTTTTTTTTTTTTTTTTTTTTTTTTTTTTTTTTTTTTTTTTTTTTTTTTTTTTTTTTTTTTTTTTTTTTTTTTTTTTTTTTTTTTTTTTTTTTTTTTTTTTTTTTTTTTTTTTTTTTTTTTTTTTTTTTTTTTTTTTTTTTTTTTTTTTTTTTTTTTTTTTTTTTTTTTTTTTTTTTTTTTTTTTTTTTTTTTTTTTTTTTTTTTTTTTTTTTTTTTTTTTTTTTTTTTTTTTTTTTTTTTTTTTTTTTTTTTTTTTTTTTTTTTTTTTTTTTTTTTTTTTTTTTTTTTTTTTTTTTTTTTTTTTTTTTTTTTTTTTTTTTTTTTTTTTTTTTTTTTTTTTTTTTTTTTTTTTTTTTTTTTTTTTTTTTTTTTTTTTTTTTTTTTTTTTTTTTTTTTTTTTTTTTTTTTTTTTTTTTTTTTTTTTTTTTTTTTTTTTTTTTTTTTTTTTTTTTTTTTTTTTTTTTTTTTTTTTTTTTTTTTTTTTTTTTTTTTTTTTTTTTTTTTTTTTTTTTTTTTTTTTTTTTTTTTTTTTTTTTTTTTTTTTTTTTTTTTTTTTTTTTTTTTTTTTTTTTTTTTTTTTTTTTTTTTTTTTTTTTTTTTTTTTTTTTTTTTTTTTTTTTTTTTTTTTTTTTTTTTTTTTTTTTTTTTTTTTTTTTTTTTTTTTTTTTTTTTTTTTTTTTTTTTTTTTTTTTTTTTTTTTTTTTTTTTTTTTTTTTTTTTTTTTTTTTTTTTTTTTTTTTTTTTTTTTTTTTTTTTTTTTTTTTTTTTTTTTTTTTTTTTTTTTTTTTTTTTTTTTTTTTTTTTTTTTTTTTTTTTTTTTTTTTTTTTTTTTTTTTTTTTTTTTTTTTTTTTTTTTTTTTTTTTTTTTTTTTTTTTTTTTTTTTTTTTTTTTTTTTTTTTTTTTTTTTTTTTTTTTTTTTTTTTTTTTTTTTTTTTTTTTTTTTTTTTTTTTTTTTTTTTTTTTTTTTTTTTTTTTTTTTTTTTTTTTTTTTTTTTTTTTTTTTTTTTTTTTTTTTTTTTTTTTTTTTTTTTTTTTTTTTTTTTTTTTTTTTTTTTTTTTTTTTTTTTTTTTTTTTTTTTTTTTTTTTTTTTTTTTTTTTTTTTTTTTTTTTTTTTTTTTTTTTTTTTTTTTTTTTTTTTTTTTTTTTTTTTTTTTTTTTTTTTTTTTTTTTTTTTTTTTTTTTTTTTTTTTTTTTTTTTTTTTTTTTTTTTTTTTTTTTTTTTTTTTTTTTTTTTTTTTTTTTTTTTTTTTTTTTTTTTTTTTTTTTTTTTTTTTTTTTTTTTTTTTTTTTTTTTTTTTTTTTTTTTTTTTTTTTTTTTTTTTTTTTTTTTTTTTTTTTTTTTTTTTTTTTTTTTTTTTTTTTTTTTTTTTTTTTTTTTTTTTTTTTTTTTTTTTTTTTTTTTTTTTTTTTTTTTTTTTTTTTTTTTTTTTTTTTTTTTTTTTTTTTTTTTTTTTTTTTTTTTTTTTTTTTTTTTTTTTTTTTTTTTTTTTTTTTTTTTTTTTTTTTTTTTTTTTTTTTTTTTTTTTTTTTTTTTTTTTTTTTTTTTTTTTTTTTTTTTTTTTTTTTTNTTAAAATTTTTTTTTTTTTTTGATAAAATAAATAATATTTGCGTATGGAACTAAAGAGCCACAGCTTCACATCCAAAGAGCCACATGTGGCTTGCAAGCCGCAGGTTGCCGACCCCTGCTCTAGGCAAATCGCCCAAGTGTTACATTGCCATAACTTAATAAACAGACAGATATAACTGAATTACAGGTGATAGTTGGTGTTTTTATTGTTTTTCGATAATTTCTCATTAATGAATTGTATTGGATGTTTTTAGAAAGATGATTTCTTATTCTTTCATATTCTTAGAATCAAAGAAGAAAATAGTGTAAATTTAAGATAACAGTTTTGACATTTTCCTTAAGTCCTTTTGATTCTAAGAATTGTTAAATTTCTTTGAATATTATTTTATTTTGTAGAATATACATTTTTAAATAACAAATTTTTTATTTTTAATAGATNAAAATGGTATTCAAATGATACAATTTCTTGAAAAGTCATTTCCCATATGTAAGTGAAAATTCATTCAAGTATACAAACTTATGTAATTTTGGATTATTATTAATGCTGTTCATTTCTTTACGATTTGTTTAATGCTCTGAACATAACATTTCTGAAGATTCCAAATGTGTATTAGGTAAACCTCACTTTTAATCATAAACAATGAATCGAACTTAATTTTTTTCACATTAATTAATTAATTAACTCTGTTTATGAAAAAAAGTCATCTAAAGCTATTGAACCTTAAAATGAAAAAAAGATTATTGTAAACATTTTACACAACAAATAATTGAAATTTACCAATAAAAATACTTTCTGCCGTTTATTTTTCAAAAACTAATTCCATTTTTAGTACTTTGTACAGAAAGTAATTTTTTCATGAGAGCAGCCATATTGAATTAGCACAAAGCTCGATAACGAACTAGCTAGCACTCCGAGCTTACCAATTTCGCTAAACATGACGTCACATAGCTCTAAAGTAAATGCCAATGAGCGTGGCACTCGGATGAAAGTATACAGGCTGAGGGTGCTGATAGTAAAATTAGCTCAGAAGTAAATGCACCCTTTGTTGCATACATGACACAGGAGAAGCTGCATCATATGTAAATGGAAATACTGACACATTCGCCAACAGTAATTAAATTATAGACTAGATTTTATTTATATACACAATTCCTCTTCTGGAATTTTCCAGAAAAAACACAAACTAATGGTGTATCAGAAGGGGGTAGTTGAGATTGTAAAAGATCTAATTAATAAAGTTGAATGTTGATTAATGGTGAATGTTAACTAATGGTGAATGTTAACACATTTAATACTCTGGCCTTTCCACTTCCTTTAATATCTTTTGTAGCTTTTTTCCTTTGTCATCATGAATCATCTAGAATTTTCTGAAATCATCTGAATTTTCTGGCTGCAGTGTTGGATTTGTCATGATGGCAATAGTCTAAAAGTGTTAAAATTTCCAATGCAATGAATTCATCACTGACTAGAGTTATCAAACATCATCAGGTAGTTATTTTAATAGATTACTTTCTGTCTTGTTAATATGAAGCATGTATCTGCTTATTGTTCAATTGGTAATATTTGAAATGAGCACATTACTTTTAAAGCATTTTCTTTACTAAACATAGTGAATACAAGAAAACTTTCTTACATTATTTATTCTATACACATTTTTCTATCACTTCCTGTTCAATCGATCTTNTTTATATCATAACTAAAGATTAATTTGATTAAAATTCATTAAGCAACCTTTGTAAATTATAAAATGAAAAATGATGAATTAATATCAGCCATTTTGTTTAAAACCTTTAACGGTTGCTTGACGCTGTACGGGTTGTTAGGGGCATGTTGCTGAACAAAATTTTGTACCCATTTTTCCAGTCGTCGATAAAGCATACACTCCTACAATATTACTGGAAAAATGGGTACACAATTTTGTTCGGCAACATGCCCCTAACAATCCGTACAGCGTCAAGCAACCGTTAGAGGTTTTAAACAAAATGGCTGAAAAATGATGAATCTGAAAAATCTAAATAACTTTTATTATTAAGCAAAAAGTAAACTCTGTTACAGAATTTTGGATTGTTTAAATTACATTTGTATTAAAAATGCAATAGTAATTTAAATAAGCCAAAAATTTATATATAAAAAATATTTCTAGATTATCTGTTAATTTTAAATTCTTAGAAAATATATAAAACTGTAAATTTTTAATAATTAGTTTTTAATTTAGAACTGAAACAATGAAAAAATAAAGTAAAGTAGAACAATACAATTATTTAATAGAAATTGTTATTCTTGTTTTTGAAGATTGTTTTTGCAATTTATAAAGAAAAATTATTTTTTGATAATAAAATAGACAAATAAAACTCTACAAATAGATTACACAGTCTGCAGTGGAAAAACTGATCAACTTTTTTTATGTGATCCTTATATGCTTTTTTATGCTGAATTAAAAAATGTTACTAGTTTTTCTCTATCGCTTAAGGTTTTTCTTCAAAACCATTTTTATTGGCTAAATTAGGTAAATTTTTATTGCTTGCTTTGCATATTTCGTGCCCATATTAGTGACACGTTTCACTAGCTGTAATTTATTTATGTTGTTAAATGCATTGGGTTCAGAAGCAATGGCCACCTAGAAAACAATTACAACCTGGCATAAAGAATATTGTGAGGAGCAGCTTGGTGAATCCAGAGAAAGTGCTGCTGCCACCTCTGCATATTAAGCTGGGATTGATGAAACAGTTCATAAAGACTTTACCAAAGGATGGAAACTGCTTTTTGTATTTAAGCAAAAAGTTTCCAGCCTTGTCTGAAGAAAAACTAAAAGAAGTTGTATTTACAGGAAATTATAATATATAAGGAAATTAATATCAAACACAGAACTTCTTTCTGAAATGAATGACAAAGAACAGAATGCCTGGATTGCATTTAAGGCAATTGTTTTAAAGTTTCTAAGAAAATATAAACTAAAGATCCTGATTATAAAGAAATAGTAGAGAACTTGTTAATTAAGTACCATGAACTTGGCTGCAATATGAGCCTTAAGGTACACTTTCTGAATTAACACTTGGATTACTTCCCTGAAAATCTAGGGACTGTAAGTGAAGAACAGAATGAAAGATTCCATCAGGACATTAAGGAGATGGAAAGAAGATATCAGGGAAGATGGGATGTCAGTATGATGGTGAATTACTGTTGGATGACATCTCAGATGCAGAACATAAGAGAAAGTCCACAAAATGCAGTGTTAGGGCAAAAAAAAAATCAGAACTGATAAGTACCAAAGCTAATTAGTGGCTTATGTTGTATTTTTGTGCCCATATATGTTAATAATAAAATGAAATTGGTAATTTTTTTTCTGTTAAAATAAATTAAAACTCTATATACTCTTTATACGTATGTATATAATACATTTTTATGAATTTTTGACAAAATTTTGTAGTCTTTGTATCAAAATGTTACATGATGGAAACATTTGAGAGATTGTTTTTAGTCGTTTCCATAGTTGTTAGTAAAAATCACATCTCAAAGTCCAAACAGTTTTTCTTTAGTTGAAGTTTATAGACCTGTGTTATTGTTATCTTGAAAATATTACTAAAACAATAAACTGTTTTACTGAAACTTACTTTATTAATAAGTTTTTTCTCTTACTTATGGCAGCCAAGTTTATTGTCAGAAGATAGCTTAGTAGTTGTCAAAACAATCTAAAAATGTTGAAACTCATCCTTTACTATCCTACCTCTGCCATGAAAATTATTTAACATCTTCCATTCACCCATGCCCACTAGTGGCCAAGCAGTTCTGTTCCCTGAACACTGGTAGTTTGGTCACGGGTTTGTGCCTTGCCAGGATGGACTGGCCACATGGAGTTTTCTGTTTTCTTCACATCTTTAATGGCTAAATAGTGGCCAGTTATGCTTAAAAAGACTTCCTGGAAGGCATCCGCCTAGGCAGATTGCCCAAGTGTTCTGTTGCCTTAACTAACACACCATTCGCCCACAAATGCAACATTTATTATTCACTGTTGGAGAACAGCATTTTCATATCAGCAAAAGACTGACTATAAGCTAAAGATATCAACTGATACAAATCACCTATGTTAGTAAATCCTAGAAAGCTGATTCACTTGTGCATCTTCTGACAATGGGCTTGGTTGCCCAAAAAAACATGAGAAAAACTTGTTAATAAAGTGAACTTCAGTAGAGCAGTTTATTGTTTTTGTTATATTTTTAATGAACCTGGAGTTATTTTCAAATAAATTATTTTTGTCTTGTTTTCATATTATTACCAATATAAATGTTAATTGTTTAACTCTAAACTATTGTTTTTAATTTTTTTGGTAACCTATAGGTATAGGTATAGGTATACTATATACTTACTTCATACCATGTCAGATTTTTGGATATGACCAGATATTACAATATTTTCTCTTTTCAATTCTCAGTAGAAGATTGTGTTTGAATTTATAATGATCTTTCTCATATATACATCTCTTTTGTAACATTTCTAGATTAGTATTATAAACAGTTTGTTGTATTAATAATTGTTGATGTGCAAGTAATAACTGAGAAAATTCACTAAGAAGTTGGTTTAAGTTTTCCATGTTTGCACAATACACAGTGATTTAAAGCAAAAAGTTAAAAGTACTTCAAACATTTTCCACCAGATGACTACTCTTATTAATGAAAACAACGTATAAATATATATATATGAAATTGACACTAAAGAACATTATGTTAAAGTATTTTCTTGCATAATTAAATAATTTAATTTTGCCATATCTGAAGCAGATATAATTGTAAGGGTGTATGGTTTTTGTTGTTGCCGCCTGATACTGAGTTTGCCAGGAAACCGAATCCAAGAAGGGTGTGTGGGTATAAACCACATTTGTGAATGTCAATGGATTCAGACTTGAGACACCTTTACAAATTCCCATTTATTGTTACAAAAAGTTGTCGCTTACATATTTAATTCTTATTCTTCCACTCCTGTTGATTGTCCCACAAAAACATACTTGGGCTTCAGGTCAACAGTCTGTAAGTCCTGTACAATGTTTGGATGGCACCGGGACCAGGATGATGATGTTGACAAGATGAGCAAAGGGGTCACTTAATCCTTTTATTGCCAGACATTTTGTTCTTGCATTTGCTATGGATGACTCCTGGGTTTTCAAATTATGAAGTCCAGGATTGAAGTGAATTTGTGAAGTTGACTGGAAGTTGTGGGGCCAATGAAATGTGGTTAAGGAAGAACAGTTGGAGAAGTGCACTACATCCTTGAGATGTGGGTTTGTACAGAATTTATCCATAAACTGAACAGTTTAATTGGTCTTGAATCTTTCTCTTCCTTCCCCAATTAATTCCTTTTTTGTCTCAAGGTAGAACTAGACCCAATCAGGACACAAAAAAGGTTGAACAAAGATATTTGCTCAACCTTTCTTACTTTTTTAAAAACCACATCTTGCTCTCGAATGATGGGATGTTTAAATGAACCTTGGAACTTTTGCTCATATTTCTATAAATTTTGTTTTCTCTCATCAAAAATTTCTATTAGACATCTCATGATATTTCTTTATTGATCAAAATATTTTATAGCAATTTGAGTTTGCCATAATTTTGTCAAATTCATGAGTGTCAAAGCCAAAGTTCGTCTTTCTGATCTGACACATGAACTCAGATCATCCAAGACTTACATCTGTAGTTTTTTTTTTTTATCTTTGCAATGTGTTTATCTTACAAAATTCTTTTTAAACAAAATTTAGTGTGTGGTTTGGACCTTGTCCAGAACTTCACATAGTTTCTAACCTAAATAAAAAGTTTCTACTTATAAANATCGCTATTAACCTACTTTGCATTGAATTTTCCTCCATGTTAAGCCTATCAAATTTTTTTTTTTAAATAATAATTGTCGCTATTGCATCGTTAAAAATTATTTCTTTATTTTGCACAAACAAAATACAGTACTGTACTGTACATTGAAAAATGTAAAACAAAAAGAAAATATACAATATTTGGGTTACATATTTTGCATAAAGTAGGCCTATACACTAGAAAAAGAAGTCCAAAATTTTCTTTTGCTTCACAGCTGACACTCGTTTTTTTGCTGCTAAATCTTGCACATGTTTTAAAAACAGCAATTGGATAGTGTCACATTCTTCCTGCTGTTCTAACCACTTCATAGCTGTCTCAAGGCCGTGAAAATCTTCCTCACTGGATGGTCCTTTTTCAGCACGGTTGTCGTCACTAGGTTCTTCTTCATCGTCGCAAGGGTCTTGGTTGTCAATGACACTGGCAATGATTTCATCGTCCGACAATATTTGATAGCCAGGGTCATCGGCATCACATTTGAGCCAGTCTTGAATGTTTTCATTGTCGCATTCTTCAAATCCATAACATTCTTTAATCAGCCCACACAGATGTGATACAAATTGGTTGTTTGGTAGTTCTTCAGGTGCTATGATAGACTCATCTGATGGTAGGAGCTTATTCAAGCTGTTACTAGTGTAGTGTTCTTGACAGTAGCCCAAGCATCTGCTGCCATGTACAGTACATAGCAAGTTAATTTCAGTGTACACTTGCTGAATTGTTTTTTCACATTCTTCTCCAAGCATTAACATACGCAGCAATGCCTTTCTGTAATTTCATTTGAAGCTTTCAATGACCCCTTGGTCCATCGGTTGGAGGATGGAAGTAATGTTGGGAGGCAAGAATACAATTTTAAACTTTCCGTTTTCTCTTTCCAGTAAAATGTTTGAGGGATGACTTGGGGCATTATCAATCAACAACAAAACCTTTCCAGTATTCCCAGTTCTAAGCTGATGCTTTTTGACTTCAGGGATAAATACATTGTCATACCATTCTATAAAAATGCTTGCATCCATCCATGAATTCTTTTGATTTTTGTAGATGACTGGCAATTTTTTTATTCCCTTAAAGCACCGTGGATTTTTAGACTTTCCTACTATTAGCAAAGGTAGCCTGTGCGTTCCAGTAATATTTCCACATACCATAACAGTAATGCGTGATTTGCTTGCCTTAAAACCAGGTGCTGACATTTCATTCTTAGAAACTAGGGTTTTTGTTGGCATTTTCTTCCAGTACAAACCAGTTTCATCTGCATTGTAGACATTGGGTTTTTTGTAACCATCCTTATCAATCATGTTTTTAAAAGACTTTTTGAAACATTCAGCTGATTCAGTATCAGCCGACAATTTTTCACCCTGGATGTCCAATTCCTCAATTCCATGCCTAGATTTGAAATGCATAAGCCAGCCATTACTCGCTTGAAAATCAGCGTTACCCCCTAATTTCTTGTTCATTTGAAGAGCTTTTTCACAAATCAAAGGGCCACTTATTGGTTGTCCTTGGCTACGTACCTGCATGAACCAAGTGTAAACTGCAGTGTCCAAATCCTTGTTTTCTGCCATTTTCATTGTTTTTCTGTGCAAGCTTCCATCCTCACTGTCAAGTACACTCGCAAATTTTTTAATGGCATCACTGTTCTTTTTAATGTCTGTTATTGTGGTTTTTCCAACTCCATATTCCCGAGCTAAGCTTGAAGCACCACTTTTCAACTGACCTATTATTTTAAGTTTATCGGAAACACTGAGAACAATGTGTTTATGTTTAGTCGCCATTGCGAACGATACAACTACAGCACGATCTGTTACAAGTGTGAAATTCACAGATCCAAAATTTATATCACCAATGAAAACGGATTCCAATTCAACACGACACACAGTCCTGAGAAAAATCCACACAAAACAAACAACCTGTGGTGATTTTTATTAACTGTGAATGAATCAAAAGGCAAGATAAGCCCTTCCTCCCCATTGACGAGTTATTATGTCAAGTTTACATAGCGTTACATAAAAATCTTTCCTTTAGACCCTTCGGGAAATTTTTAAAAAAAATTTTTGGATGTTTTTTAAGTCTCCAAATTTTTGCAAAAATTTTTTTCCCACGGAAAAAATTTTATCACAATTTTAATCTACCTTTAATGACGCATGATTAACACTTAATTGTTTTTTATGGGATTTTGATATCAAATTTCATTCATCATTCTAAAGTTCTAGTGCATGTATTTTACTTCGGTAAAGTTATTTAAAGCTACTTTCTGATATAAAAAACGACCTCCAATAGTTTTTTAATTTTTTAATTAATAGATTTTATTATATATAAGTTTAATTAAATCGGGGATCGGAAATCGCAATAAAAATTTTAATTTTTGAAAAATATTTAAAAATATACAGCCAGCTAGTATTCACCCTACTATAAACTCTTTGCCTCCTGTAAGTTTTATGAGAATGTTCCGGGAAATCCAACATCAGCTATTCTCAAGGTCATCCAGCTGTAAACACAATGACTCATCAGTGTCAAATTTCGCAGAGAGGCGAGACAATGGAAAATAAAGTTTGAAGCTTTTTCTTCAAAAATAAAGCATTTTTTTTTTCAGTTTTAAGTATTTTTTATGTTTAATTATAATGTAATTAAAAATTGATCAGAGAGGAAACGGTTAACAAGAACATTTATTAGCTTGCGCACATCCGGCTTGGATCTTACACACAAGATATCTGCTATCGTGAACAATTGATGAAATAAAAGTGTATATTTATCAGAGAATAGACAAAGACTCAGTTTGTAAACAATTTACCTTTTGTATATACAACTGACACTCGATCTATAGTGGTCTTTCAATGACCAGACATAAAAAATGAACAGATGACACTTAACTTAAGCGTGGTTTACAAAACTAATATGATTAATCTTAACACAACCACTCATAATTAAAAAATTAAGCCTCGTTTAAATACTGGCCTCCCTTTCATGGTCAAGCCAGTGTAGCCAGCTAAAACATGCAAAAATTTAACAAAAATAATATTAAAGTAGCCAAGACATAGCCAAATATTGTAGCGCCACATCACTAGCGGACATTTGANAAATACTGGCCTCCCTTTCATGGTCAAGCCAGTGTAGCCAGCTAAAACATGCAAAAATTTAACAAAAATAATATTAAAGTAGCCAAGACATAGCCAAATATTGTAGCGCCACATCACTAGCGGACATTTGAATTTGCCGACTAGAATGCGGTCAGTTAATCACGGGTCGGATAATCGATGCTCTACTGTATTATAAAAGTATTTATGTAATGACAAAATCTTTGTTTATTTGCAGTTATTCAATATAAATTAAAAGTACTGCAAAACTGGATGAGATTACAATAAAAGAACAAACTATCACCTGTAAACCTGATTTCATTATTTTTCTTCAACATTCTTTAATGCATACAACCACCAGCACATGTTTAATGATTCTCTTATTTAAATTTTGTTTTTTGAATTTTATTCTATGTAACATTTCACTACCTGAAGATGGCTTTTAAAAACAGTTGAAAACATTTGTTCATAAATTAAATTTGTTTGTTTTAACTGAATTACCCCACCAGTGGCCAAGCAGTTCCATTCCCTGAACATAGGGAGTTCAGTTGTGAGTTGACACCTTGCCAGGATGAGTTGGCCACATGGAGTTCATCAGGTTTTCTCCATATCTGTAATGCCTGAATAGGGGCCAGTTACCCTTAAACGACTTCCCGGAAGGCATCCTCTAGGCCAGGGGTCGGCAACCTTTTGAGTCGGAAGAGCCAAAATTACAATTTACAAAATTTCAAAGTTTTTAAAGAGCCGTAAAATTTTCTCTTATCAACAATAAATAGTACTCGCATAAATAAAGTTTTTTGATAAAAAAACTAATCTATTTATTCATAAGAAAAAATATCTATTTATTCATATATAAGTAGTGTTTTTCACAACAAATTAGATAATAGAAACATCCGACGACGGCGTCATTCGAGAGCTTCCGACGGACTGACGACAGTGACGACGCGTGTCACGGGGGAGGGGTGCGGTGAAAAGCGATTACAAGTGGCTGAGAGATAGAATCAGTGCCTAATCCTCGTTAATCGATTCAGAACGATTTTTTAATTTTTTTTTTTTTTTGATAAAATAAATAATATTTGCGTATGGAACTAAAGAGCCACAGCTTCACATCCAAAGAGCCACATGTGGCTTGCAAGCCGCAGGTTGCCGACCCCTGCTCTAGGCAAATCGCCCAAGTGTTACATTGCCATAACTTAATAAACAGACAGATATAACTGAATTACAGGTGATAGTTGGTGTTTTTATTGTTTTTCGATAATTTCTCATTAATGAATTGTATTGGATGTTTTTAGAAAGATGATTTCTTATTCTTTCATATTCTTAGAATCAAAGAAGAAAATAGTGTAAATTTAAGAAAACAGTTTTGACATTTTCCTTAAGTCCTTTTGATTCTAAGAATTGTTAAATTTCTTTGAATATTATTTTATTTTGTAGAATATACATTTTTAAATAACAAATTTTTTATTTTTAATAGATTTTTAAAAAATTTAATTTTTAATATTAACAGATATTTGCATTGCCTGTGATACAAGTTGCACAGATATAGTAATTCAACATCCATTAATTGAAGGTGGCTTATGTAAACATTGTAGAGATGAAATTAAAGAAACTATGTTTGCTTATGGTGATGATGGAACAAATGTGAGTAAATTCATATAATTTGTAAATTATTTGATATTTAAATTCAAATATTTAAAATTTTTAAACTAAAAAATGTTTTAATTTTATTTAGGCCTACTGTGTCATATGTGGCCAAGCTGGAGAATTATTGATCTGTGATAATCATGAATGCAATAGGTAACATTTTAACAAAATTATTTTTAATGATAATGTTTTAAGAATTAGAAAACTAAGAAAATATTCTATTATAATTTTCCACAACATAAACTTATATTTAAATTTGATAATTACATTATATAATTGAAATCTTCTATCCATCAATGTTTTATATATCTGTATAGGTGTTAAGTGATCTTAAATTTTAAGTATTTGTAATTTTATTTTTGATATTTAATTATGAAATTTTTTTATTTTAATGTTTAATGTTTAGAAAAAGTTGCTTATTTTTAAATCATAACTAAAGATTAATTTGATTAAAATTCATTAAGCAACCTTTGTAAATTATAAAATGAAAAATGATGAATTAATATCAGCCATTTTGTTTAAAACCTTTAACGGTTGCTTGACGCTGTACGGGTTGTTAGGGGCATGTTGCTGAACAAAATTTTGTACCCATTTTTCCAGTCGTCGATAAAGCATACACTCCTACAATATTACTGGAAAAATGGGTACACAATTTTGTTCGGCAACATGCCCCTAACAATCCGTACAGCGTCAAGCAACCGTTAGAGGTTTTAAACAAAATGGCTGAAAAATGATGAATCTGAAAAATCTAAATAACTTTTATTATTAAGCAAAAAGTAAACTCTGTTACAGAATTTTGGATTGTTTAAATTACATTTGTATTAAAAATGCAATAGTAATTTAAATAAGCCAAAAATTTATATATAAAAAATATTTCTAGATTATCTGTTAATTTTAAATTCTTAGAAAATATATAAAACTGTAAATTTTTAATAATTAGTTTTTAATTTAGAACTGAAACAATGAAAAAATAAAGTAAAGTAGAACAATACAATTATTTAATAGAAATTGTTATTCTTGTTTTTGAAGATTGTTTTTGCAATTTATAAAGAAAAATTATTTTTTGATAATAAAATAGACAAATAAAACTCTACAAATAGATTACACAGTCTGCAGTGGAAAAACTGATCAACTTTTTTTATGTGATCCTTATATGCTTTTTTATGCTGAATTAAAAAATGTTACTAGTTTTTCTCTATCGCTTAAGGTTTTTCTTCAAAACCATTTTTATTGGCTAAATTAGGTAAATTTTTATTGCTTGCTTTGCATATTTCGTGCCCATATTAGTGACACGTTTCACTAGCTGTAATTTATTTATGTTGTTAAATGCATTGGGTTCAGAAGCAATGGCCACCTAGAAAACAATTACAACCTGGCATAAAGAATATTGTGAGGAGCAGCTTGGTGAATCCAGAGAAAGTGCTGCTGACACCTCTGCATATTAAGCTGGGATTGATGAAACAGTTCATAAAGACTTTACCAAAGGATGGAAACTGCTTTTTGTATTTAAGCAAAAAGTTTCCAGCCTTGTCTGAAGAAAAACTAAAAGAAGTTGTATTTACAGGAAATTATAATATATAAGGAAATTAATATCAAACACAGAACTTCTTTCTGAAATGAATGACAAAGAACAGAATGCCTGGATTGCATTTAAGGCAATTGTTTTAAAGTTTCTAAGAAAATATAAACTAAAGATCCTGATTATAAAGAAATAGTAGAGAACTTGTTAATTAAGTACCATGAACTTGGCTGCAATATGAGCCTTAAGGTACACTTTCTGAATTAACACTTGGATTACTTCCCTGAAAATCTAGGGACTGTAAGTGAAGAACAGAATGAAAGATTCCATCAGGACATTAAGGAGATGGAAAGAAGATATCAGGGAAGATGGGATGTCAGTATGATGGTGAATTACTGTTGGATGACATCTCAGATGCAGAACATAAGAGAAAGTCCACAAAATGCAGTGTTAGGGCAAAAAAAAAATCAGAACTGATAAGTACCAAAGCTAATTAGTGGCTTATGTTGTATTTTTGTGCCCATATATGTTAATAATAAAATGAAATTGGTAATTTTTTTTCTGTTAAAATAAATTAAAACTCTATATACTCTTTATACATATGTATATAATACATTTTTATGAATTTTTGACAAAATTTTGTAGTCTTTGTATCAAAATGTTACATGATGGAAACATTTGAGAGATTGTTTTTAGTCGTTTCCATAGTTGTTAGTAAAAATCACATCTCAAAGTCCAAACAGTTTTTCTTTAGTTGAAGTTTATAGACCTGTGTTATTGTTATCTTGAAAATATTACTAAAACAATAAACTGTTTTACTGAAACTTACTTTATTAATAAGTTTTTTCTCTTACTTATGGCAGCCAAGTTTATTGTCAGAAGATAGCTTAGTAGTTGTCAAAACAATCTAAAAATGTTGAAACTCATCCTTTACTATCCTACCTCTGCCATGAAAATTATTTAACATCTTCCATTCACCCATGCCCACTAGTGGCCAAGCAGTTCTGTTCCCTGAACACTGGTAGTTTGGTCACGGGTTTGTGCCTTGCCAGGATGGACTGGCCACATGGAGTTTTCTGTTTTCTTCACATCTTTAATGGCTAAATAGTGGCCAGTTATGCTTAAAAAGACTTCCTGGAAGGCATCCGCCTAGGCAGATTGCCCAAGTGTTCTGTTGCCTTAACTAACACACCATTCGCCCACAAATGCAACATTTATTATTCACTGTTGGAGAACAGCATTTTCATATCAGCAAAAGACTGACTATAAGCTAAAGATATCAACTGATACAAATCACCTATGTTAGTAAATCCTAGAAAGCTGATTCACTTGTGCATCTTCTGACAATGGGCTTGGTTGCCCAAAAAAACATGAGAAAAACTTGTTAATAAAGTGAACTTCAGTAGAGCAGTTTATTGTTTTTGTTATATTTTTAATGAACCTGGAGTTATTTTCAAATAAATTATTTTTGTCTTGTTTTCATATTATTACCAATATAAATGTTAATTGTTTAACTCTAAACTATTGTTTTTAATTTTTTTGGTAACCTATAGGTATAGGTATAGGTATACTATATACTTACTTCATACCATGTCAGATTTTTGGATATGACCAGATATTACAATATTTTCTCTTTTCAATTCTCAGTAGAAGATTGTGTTTGAATTTATAATGATCTTTCTCATATATACATCTCTTTTGTAACATTTCTAGATTAGTATTATAAACAGTTTGTTGTATTAATAATTGTTGATGTGCAAGTAATAACTGAGAAAATTCACTAAGAAGTTGGTTTAAGTTTTCCATGTTTGCACAATACACAGTGATTTAAAGCAAAAAGTTAAAAGTACTTCAAACATTTTCCACCAGATGACTACTCTTATTAATGAAAACAACGTATAAATATATATATATGAAATTGACACTAAAGAACATTATGTTAAAGTATTTTCTTGCATAATTAAATAATTTAATTTTGCCATATCTGAAGCAGATATAATTGTAAGGGTGTATGGTTTTTGTTGTTGCCGCCTGATACTGAGTTTGCCAGGAAACCGAATCCAAGAAGGGTGTGTGGGTATAAACCACATTTGTGAATGTCAATGGATTCAGACTTGAGACACCTTTACAAATTCCCATTTATTGTTACAAAAAGTTGTCGCTTACATATTTAATTCTTATTCTTCCACTCCTGTTGATTGTCCCACAAAAACATACTTGGGCTTCAGGTCAACAGTCTGTAAGTCCTGTACAATGTTTGGATGGCACCGGGACCAGGATGATGATGTTGACAAGATGAGCAAAGGGGTCACTTAATCCTTTTATTGCCAGACATTTTGTTCTTGCATTTGCTATGGATGACTCCTGGGTTTTCAAATTATGAAGTCCAGGATTGAAGTGAATTTGTGAAGTTGACTGGAAGTTGTGGGGCCAATGAAATGTGGTTAAGGAAGAACAGTTGGAGAAGTGCACTACATCCTTGAGATGTGGGTTTGTACAGAATTTATCCATAAACTGAACAGTTTAATTGGTCTTGAATCTTTCTCTTCCTTCCCCAATTAATTCCTTTTTTGTCTCAAGGTAGAACTAGACCCAATCAGGACACAAAAAAGGTTGAACAAAGATATTTGCTCAACCTTTCTTACTTTTTTAAAAACCACATCTTGCTCTCGAATGATGGGATGTTTAAATGAACCTTGGAACTTTTGCTCATATTTCTATAAATTTTGTTTTCTCTCATCAAAAATTTCTATTAGACATCTCATGATATTTCTTTATTGATCAAAATATTTTATAGCAATTTGAGTTTGCCATAATTTTGTCAAATTCATGAGTGTCAAAGCCAAAGTTCGTCTTTCTGATCTGACACATGAACTCAGATCATCCAAGACTTACATCTGTAGTTTTTTTTTTTTATCTTTGCAATGTGTTTATCTTACAAAATTCTTTTTAAACAAAATTTAGTGTGTGGTTTGGACCTTGTCCAGAACTTCACATAGTTTCTAACCTAAATAAAAAGTTTCTACTTATAAATTTTTAATCTTTATTTTATTTTAGAATTTTATTTATTTTATCATTTAGAGATTAAGTATCATTTAACTTACAATAATTGTAATAGTCTGTGAAATGAATTTGCAAAATATCTGTTTTAATTAAAATTAATTTTTAATGCATATAAAATATTTATTTAAATTGAATATTTTTATGTAAAATTTTTATAGATGCTATTGCACAGGATGTATTGAAGTACTCGTTTCACCTGGTGCACATATAAAAGTAAGATTTTAACATCTTTAAAACATTTCATATATAAATATATTTTATTATCAGCCTTAAAATAAAATAAAATAAAATATTTCAACAAAATTAAGGATAAATTAAGAAAATTAAATGAATTTAAATTCTCAAGTTTTGAAATATGCCAGTTGTTAATTAATATAGAATTCTGTCACTAGAAGACAATTTATCAATGAAAATAAAATGAAAATGATTAAAAATAAAATTTTAATAAAAATTTTTTAGAATTATTTCTGAAAAGAATAATTAGCAGGAAAAAATATTAATAATAACATTTCTTTCTAACTACAATGTAAATTAAATAAAATTTCAAAAACTAACTTTAGCCTTTATCATATTTTGTTTTTGGCTTATACAATCAATAATATTACTTATATTAATTTGAACTTTTTAGAATATTAGTTCAAAAACAAGATCTCATTTTATACTTCATTTATCGCTTTTAAAATATTTTTAAAATGTGATAAATAAATTAAATAATTTTTAAAATATTTTTAAATATAAAAAGACATGTTCTCTCTAATATAAAAAGAAAATTTTTCTTATCACATGCTTAAGTTTATTTGAAAAATTATTTTTTTTACTAATGACTGAATTATCCATTGAAAGGCAGAATAACTTAATTATTAAAATATTTTGGTGATGCGTTAAATTTAAATAATAATAGTACTAAGATGGTTTTATATCTGCAGAAAAAAATTCTTATTTATAATTTTTAATTTATTCTCAAAGCTATATTATATTGAATTTTTTATTTTATTCTCATAATTTATGGTTTATTCATGAATAAATAGCTTATCTATATAATGATTGTTATTATAATTGTTTATAATTCGCTTTTAAAATTGCTGCTACAAGTATGAAAGAATTAGCAATAAAAATTTACAGTCATTAATTTTAAATCGCAAGGATAGTTTAGTAACTTTTAGGTACAGAATTATAAACTCAAGTTCTATCTTACAGCTAATAAGATTGTTTTTATATATCAAAATTCTATATTATGTTAATATATTATGTTAATATGTTGTTTATAATTTTATTATGAAAAACTTACATTTAGTAATATTAAAAACTATACATTATAGGTTCGAGAAACTAATCCATGGCTCTGTTACATGTGTTCAGAATATGATTCTGAACAAAATGGATTAATTAGAAAAAAGGATAATTGGCAACAAAACATAATGTATTTATTTCGACACAACCAAAGTATAAATTTACCACCAAATATGGATGATTACAAAGAAAAAAAAGCTATTCGAGTTCTTTCTCTATTTGATGGAATTGGAACAGGTAAATCTTCAGAATTAAAAAATTAAAAGTATTTATTTTTCAATGTCTTGAAATCACAATATAGTAAACTCCTGCTAACTTAGACTTTGCACAACTCAGATTTATTTGAAAAATTGTACTGTAATTTTAAATTTCTTTATGATATAAAAATTATAATTAACAAGTAATTATAATGAAATTTGAGTATTATAAGTAATTATAAAGAGTATTTTTGATAACTAGAAGACTGTGGTACCATGCCTTATATTTCTGTAATCAGTAAGTCATCAAAGACTCTATATTGCTGTATACTGTACTGTCATGAAACTTTTTGAGCTAATTTCCTGTAATAGTAAATTCAGCAGTATAATCTACTATAGCCCAGAAAAACTTCTTTATAAAGCTGATTGTAATAACTACTGTAACCTATATTGTAATAAATACTGTAACCTATATCCACATTCTTGTTTTCCATGCCCATTGGGGAAAACATCTTACTATCTCAGACTTTCGTAAACTTGGACAATATTCACTCTCTACTAGTCTGAGTTAATAGGAGTTTACTGTAATATATAATAGTTTTTTTATTATCATAAGCATTTGTATATAATATAGGAAGTGTAAAATTTTATTTTGTCTGATAACCTGAGAGTTAAAACTTGCCACCCACAAACAGTGATGACTTAGAGTTGAACAGTATCTTCAAACAAGATTATTTCACAAACTGAGCCCAAAAATGTTTATTCAACACATTAACTCACTGAAGAAAAGGTATACAACATATATATCCACAAAGTTAACAAGACATATTACCGTGTTTCCCCGAAAATAAGACAGTGTCTTATATTAATTTTTGCTCTGAAAAATGTGCTAGGTTTTTCAGGGAATGTCTTATTTTCAGGGAATGTCTTATTTTTTCCAGGAAGAAGAATTCACATTTATTATTGAACAAAAAAATTCCCAAGTCGAACTTAGACGAGAGTGACGTATATCCGGCATGTCGAACTGTTGCCTTTTTATAGCGTCAACATCGGACTCGATGACCAATTAGTGCTTACTGAACCGTAGCACTATGCAAATGTCATGTGAGGACCAGAAATTTAGTGTTTTAAACTATAATTTTTTTTTTAATAAACTTTATAAAGACGGAACGAGAAAACAGAAAATTAAAAGAGAAAAAGGAAAAATAAAATCAATAAAAACCTTGATTCCCACGAGTTAGGTTCCTTGTTGAGATGAGTACATTTCTGTGTCACGATTGTGTCACCCGTCCCCTCATTGGACCAAGAAGATCGTCATCGCTGACGAAATCGGAGAAAAGTTCGAAAATGAGGACGTGATATAAAAGGGCCAGGCATGATGAGAAAGGGGGTGGAAGTTATTATTGGTATCTGTGTGTGCGCTCCGATCGTCTACCTCCCGCCGAGAATCCGAACCTCCTCCTCCTCTACAAGACTAAAAGACCTGAACTTAACTGAAATTTTTCTACTCACCTAAAAAGAACTGTTCACCTAAAAGGAACTGTTGGACCTTTTGTGCTGATTTTGGACTTGAGCTCCTACAACCTAAGGTATTTATCCTGCCCGCGCACTATTGTACGTTCTCTCTCTCCGCGTAA